CTTGATAAGAAATGTACTCATTATCTTGCCCATGTAATTGTAACCCCTCTGTACAGTATTTTCACAATAAAAAATAATAATAATATGTTACTTAAAGTAGTCTGAAAAAATGTGGCATGAGGTTGTGTACCTGTTATCCAAGCTATGTGAGAGCACAGATACAAGAATAAGTTCAAGGCAAGCTCCTAGAAGAACAATTAAGAACTTATCCAAAAATATAACTAAAGCAAAAAAAGGGCTAGAGACATGGATCAAGTAGTAGGGTACCTGTCTAGCAAGTGGGAAGCCCTGAGTTCAAACCTCAGGACCATAGTAATAACAACAGTATCAATAATGCTCAAAGTGTTATCAAATGCATGGGACCAAAAACAAAAACAAAAGCCAGAAGTGGAGCTGTTGCTAAAGTGACAGAGTACTAGTCAGCCTTGGCAATAACCCTCAGGGACAGTTGTGTGTGTGTGTGTGTGTGTGTGTGGTAGTAGTAGCAGTAGTAGTAAGTAGGTTGGGAATATAGCCTCAGTGGTATAGTGCTTACCTAATATGAACATGGTCCGGAGTCTGATCTGTAGCATAGCAAATAAATACATGCACAGACATACATACATACATACATACATACATACATATATAAATATATGAATGAATGATTCTATAAATAAATGACTTTATTTATACTGAAAAATAGACACCAAAATATTTCAGATAGTGGGGTGTCTTCTCACTCCTGTAATCCTAGCGACTCAGAAGATCTCAATTTGAAGCCAGCCTAGACAAAAAAGTATGCTAGATTCTATCTCCAAAATAACCAGCAAAAAGCCAGCCTAGCAGCATGGCTCATGTGGTAGAGCACCAGCCTAGCAAACACATACCTGTGCATGTATATTTAGGATATAATTCTTATAATATTTTTCCTAAATAATAAGCTCTAAAAACAGGTCTACTCATCATTACAACTTGAAGATCATTAATACCATAGTGGTATAAAAGAATATGTGAGGGGCTGGGAAGGTGGCTCAGTGGTAGAGCACTTGCCTTGAGCTGAAGAGCTGTGGGACAGCACCCAAGCCCAGAGTTCAGGCCCCACGACTGGACCCAAAAAAAAAAAAGAATATGTGAGTTTTCTAATAGTGAAAAGTTCCACAGATACTATTAGTTTGATTTGTTGCCATATTGGAGGAAATAGGAAATACCAGGTACAGGTTAAAGGAATATGTACATGTTTTGTTCACCCATATTCATGAACCTCTCCTGAATTCAAAGTTAAAATCCTTAACTTAATTCATAAAATGAAAGAGAATGGATTTTTCCTATGGTTATTCATTGCTATATCTCTGAAACCTAACTAAAACCATGAAGAAAGGAAGAGAAAGCAGAATTAATCATTTAGAAGACCAGATTACTTCTGGGTAAAGAAGGCAAGAAAATCAAAAGGACATTAATAACCCCTTGGGTTGCATTCCATCTTCTTCAACAACAACATGGGTTTCTCCTGGGGACAAATCTGAAAACAAAAAATACAAATGGGTCCAGGGCTCCAAAAAATCTTCTAATGTAGGCAGTTGCCTGAGTAACTATTTTCTAATTAATATGATGCCATCATGTACTATTTGTACATGACTTCCCTGAAACATTACTTTTAGCCAGGCATGGTAACACACACTTTACTCCCCACACTCAGACTGAGGCAAGAGAATCATGAGTCTGAAACCAGCCTGGGTTATAATGAGATCCTATCTCAAAACAAATAAAAAGTTAATTTTGATTCCTAAAACTAGAAAGAAAAAACTCATTCTAAGCAGAGTAAAAGACATATAGTCACTTCAAACTGAGAAGGAAAAGAGATTTATTTCACACTATAAATTATCAAGGTGATTTACTATTGCTATGGATAGGAAAAGTAAGTACATACTGAGCCAGTACATAAACTCTCAATGAAACACAATTGTCTTTAAACTTAATTCAACTCTTTAGGCAATATTCTGAATTTTGCAGCCATAGGACTAAAAAATAGAATTGTAATGATAGTTTTTTTTTCAAAACCCTGTAAAAACAAAAGGAAATATACATTGTTAATGAAAGAAAACTTCTAACAATCTTTCCATAATAAGATAGTCATCATCAAAATACAAATAAGGAAGGTTTCTGCATGGTATCCATTTTTCTCCCACTCTAAGGAGTAAAACTTAGATGGTTATTGTAATTACTCCATTATGCTTTTGGTATCTGTTTACCTGTCAGTTTAATAAAACTCTGGTAACTGCAATTTTCATCAAAAATATATTTTGGACAGCCTCTCACCTGGTCTCTTCATCATTCCAAGCGATGCGCATGCCTTTCCCACCACCACCTGCTGAGGCCTTGATCATGACAGGGTAGCCTAACAGCAGGGAAGAACGAGACAGAAGTTCAGACTTTGATCATTTGGATGTATTAACATGACAACTGACCACATGTTCAATAACGAAGAAGAGGATAACTAATTTATTTAAAAGTTCCTTTCTTTAAAGTCAGGAAAACAACACCAGTGTAATGATTGTGTGGTTTGTGTGTGTGTGTGTGTGTGTGTGTGTGTGCACATATATTTTTATTCGTATTTTTTCAAAAGAAAAAAAAGAGTACTGTGTCAAAAGAATGTGTTTTCCCTAGAAATAAAATAACTATATATTAATTATTTGGCAATGAATTTCAAAACTGAATTAGAAGGTAGAAGATATATTTCACATAACATGCATACACACACAAACATATGATGTCCAAAACTGCTGTTTACATGCCTAATAAATCCCCTTTTTTCCAAAAGTAAGATTTCCAGGTACTTCCATTTGAGACATCATAAAACGTTCTTATGGCTTTTATTAGAAAGAATTGGCATGATATTGTGAGAAAAAGTCAAATATGGCTGGAGCAGAAGATCCAGGGCTCACTAATAACCATGGAGCAGTAACTGAGTCCATCCATTCTCTCAGTTATCATAAAAATATGAAGCAAAATCCAAAATAAAGGGTATTTTCAGTTAAAGTTTTGAGAAGATAAAATCATGAAATTGTTATTTACAAGACTAGTTATAAAAAATTACTATGATTATATATCAAGAAAAGTTAGCATCTTTGGGGAAAGGATTTCTGGAAATTGATAAAAATATTCATACATTTAATGCCATTTGTTAATGATTTTTCCTGAAGAAAAAAGCAATCAGTAAGACCTTAAAGGACTCTTCCTGGTCTGTGATTCTATGATAGCACTGCACTCTAGCTATAGGATCCTTAAAAAAGAAAAAAGGAAGAGAGGGGCAAAATGTCACAGACCTTTGACCCTTTCACCACAAAACATCACCTTAAGTTCATAGTTAAAATAGGACTTGCTTCCAAAATATTTCAGAATTAAGTCAACTAAAAATATTTGCTCAGGTTTAGGCAGAATAGCATTTTAAAACAATGCTAAGTATAGTGAGATGAACCAAGATAAATACCATATTGTTATTACATTAAGGGCCTTAAAATCCTGGAAGAGAAGCAAAAGACCCAATAATTTCACCATTGGGACTGAAAAGAGCAAAGGATCTTCGGAAGGTTTGGAGAAAAGAAATTGGGATAAACATAATACAGGAAAGGTCATTTAAATGAAGGATGAGCAGGATTTAAACATTTTGGTTGGGAAACATAGAAACAAAACAGAGATGAGGATACAAGACATTTTAAATTGAAGAAATGAGCAAAACTCATTTGAAGTACAGCCTATTTGCAGAATAGCAGAGAAAAAAAGGAACTGAACACATAGACTGGGGGCTGAATAAGGCAGACTTAGCATGCTTTCATCTGGAATCTTGCATATGCTCTTGTGTGGTGTTTGATACTGTGGGAGGAGCTTTTCAAGAATGGGTTTAGTGTGTGTGAGTGTGAGTGTGTGTGTGTGTGTGTGTGTGTGCGCGCTTTGTCTCATTCACTGCTTCTGCCTCATGATGAATCTCAAAATAAATGAATTAGACTGAAATTGGCAAAGAAAATTTAGCTGTGTTTTGAGACCTGAAGAATTCCTACTACAAATTCAAAAACTGCATACCTACAAAATCCTGTTTACAGCAATTTAAGGTCTTTTAAACTAATGAAGCTGTATTTCTCTCCTATCAAAACAAAAACAAAAACAAAAGCCATGTCACCAATTCACAGACACAAAGTATGTATCCATGTATCAGGAAACAGATGAATCCTAGTGCCCACATCCTCTGTCTCTATGGTGCTCTCATCTCCCTCTGAGGATGAGAACACTTCCAGAGTTTTTCACTCCAGTACTAATCTCAGTCATTTATTCTAGATCCTGCACTATACCATCATTTCTGAGTTGCAAAGTAAATGGAGAAACTGTTCTTGTTCACAAAATATATAAAATAATTATTAATAAGAAATAATTAAATGTCCAGAGGTAATTAATGAATGAAACTATGTGTAAGAAAGTAATATTGCTTCCCAAAGAAAAAGGCAATGCAGTATTAAACCTGGTTACACCTATGAGCTAAAACAGCAACATTCTCAAGAAACATCTAACAAACCAAAATGAAAAGGCTGGGAGGGAAGGAGAAACTATAGAAGTTAGTGATTATATCTAGTTTAATTTCTGAGCTGTATTCTGAAATCCTATAAAGGTTTGTTTTTTAGCCTGGTAAGTTACTGTTTTCCAGGTAGAAATTTCTTTTTTTTTTAAATACAGTGCTAGGGATTGAAGGCAATTGCTCTTCCCCAGCCCTCTATCTCCTCAGTACTGAAATTATTTATTTTGGCTAAAAGACTGCTTTAAAATAAAAAATAAAATCCCAGGATCCCAGTGCTATTTTAGAATTTCCTCGCATTACTGTCCTCTCACTGTTATGTCTTGTGCTACTGCTTCTTCACACCTTTACCTAGTCAGAGGTAACCTGCCTACTGACACTCCAACTCCAGCCTGAAGTTAACTTTAGCTTTGCCCAGTTAAAGAGAAAGGAATACTTACAAAATGGAACTTAACAAATCTGAATAGGTGGGGTGGGGGAGGTTAAGGAACTGTAAGAATTTAGGTTATCAAAATATTAAAATGGCTAGGCACCAGTGTCTCACATATGTCATCCTAGCTACTCTAGAGGCTGAGATCTGAGGACTGCAATTCAAAGCCAGCCCATACAGGAAAGTCTATGAGACTCTTATCTCCAATCAACCACCAGAAAACCAGAAGTGGCACCGTGGCTCACAGTGGAAGGGCACTAGACTTGAGAGAAAAAGCTCAAGTACAGCACCCAGGCCCTGAGTTCAAGCCCTACAACCAAGAAAAAAAAATTGAAATGTTTCTATTCCTGACTGTGGACTCAACTTGCATGAGCTGAGCAAGTTTAATGCCAGGACAAGACATGCTCTCTGAGTTCCTTGCCTCCCAACAACCAGTGTGTCTTGCTTTTCCACCACAAAGAAAGCAATATTCAGTCTAACTCTACCATCAAATTTTCATTCATTCATTTTAAAATGCATTTAATGAATATATATATATACATATAGTATATATTAAACATTGGATAATTTATAAAGTCCTCTGGTTTTCTGGTACCTATTACCTGATATACATACACCTAAATACATGTATACATTTTATATGTATATATCTATATACATATACACATATATGCACACATATGTACACTGTATATATACATAAATTGTGTATAAATATACATTGTCACTATGTGTACATAATATATAATATATGAATATAATTGTAATATATAATATAATTATACATATATAAAATGGTATTATAATAAAACAACACAGAAGAATGTGTTGAAAAGGCTCTTCTGAGGAAATTGACAAGAGCTAGCCCTCAGAAAAATCAATGAGAGAAAAGGATGGTTGGCGGTAGGACAAGCTGGCAAGTACTGTATAGAAGCAGAAGAGCCCTGACAATAGTTTATAAGATTGCGCTGACTGCTGTCAAGTGACTGAACTGTGGAAGCAAGTAGACTGGTCATGAGGTCCAGGTGATAGACAGCTGTAACTTGTATTTGGTAAGTCACAATAGAGACAGACCTAAAATTTGGTTTAGGGGGTTAGTCAGCAATGGTGTGGATATGGAAAATTAGGGAATGAAAGGAGACTGGAAGCTTAGAAACTTGCTCCTTTATAGATTCCAAGTCAAAAACAACCATCTTTCCACACTAATTGAAAACTCCATGTTTATACACAATATAGAACCTTTCAGGCCAGGCGCTGGTGGCTCACACCTGTAACCCAAGCTACTCAGGAGGCTGAGTTCTGAAGATTGCAGTTTGAAGCCAGCCTCAGCAGGAAAGTCCGTGAGACTCTTATTCCCAATTAACCACCAGGAAACCAAGTGGTAGACTACAAACGTTGAACAAAAAAAGCTCAAGGAAAGTATCCAGGCCTTGAGTTCAAGCCCCAAGACTGGGCAGGGAGGGTGCAGGGTGTGGGGGAGGGGAGGAGGGAGAGAGCCTCACTCTTCAAGCAACCCCTACCATATATACGGTGAACACAACTTGTCACTTAAAAGGTGATAAAATCAGATCTCCATGCTTCAATATGGGTCATTCACTAAATAAAGAAACCTATTTTGTTTACATATGTTATCTTTTTTACAGTTTCTTGAACATTCATAGGCTATAACAGCTAGTGGAGAAAGAAAAAATAGGAAAATGGAGAAAATGGTGCTAATCAGAAATTGCTCAGAGGTTAAAAAAAAAGTATTACTCTTTTTATGGATGAGAAACATACAAATAATTGCAAGGCCTTTGCTTCCTAATAGAAAGGTTCAAAGTAAAAGGAAAATAAGAAATATTTTGGGGACAGTAGCTGAAAACAGGCAGTGAGAGGACTATAGATATTTCTAAATAAACCACACTCAATAATAGGAAATGGGACCTTAGAATTAAAAATAAAAGATACATAATACGCAGGAAGGATCCTTAGGTGAAAAATAGAAGCCTGACCCTAGGGGCTCACACCTGCGATCCTAACTACTCAAGAAGCTGATATCAGGAGAATAGAAGCTCAAATCTACTCTGAGAAGAAAAGTCCAAAAGACTCCATCCATATCCAAAAAAATAACCAGTAAATAACTAGGGTAGAGGCATGAACCAAGTAGTTGAGCAAATAAACCAAGCCAAGTGTGTGACTGCTATGTTTAAACTCTAGTACCAAACAACAGCAACAAAATGTTTTATGCTACTATTATAGAGAATGGTTCGTGTGCTTTGGGGGGCGGGGGTAGAAGTACAAAAGACACTGTTGATGGGGATGTCCTCCATGTCACTATTATTTCTAAGCACTCCAAATGTTTTTGAGACTATTCCACATTTGAATTTATCTGATTATTCATTCATCTAATTTAGATTAACAAAAA